TTGCTAGACTCCGTAGTTTGATTGAAAGATTCCTCATTGTTGTCTTCGTGCGGAGGCATGGAGCCCAATCGGCTGGCTCGGGCCCTGGCAAAAGCTTGGAAGTAATCAACTGCATGCGCATTGGTATCCATCCTCTAGACACTGAATTGCTGAACTGCTTGTCTACTCTGCATAGAATTCCAAGTTTGGTCGCGAAGCATCGATCTCTTTAGGTGTCAAGATGAAGCATATCTCGAGCATGCTCGACGAAGAATTTTGAGCTGCTTTCAGTTTACGGATTCGATCCGAATCCGACCCAAACCTTATCCGATTTTTCAGGTTGAATTCGGGTTGAAGGTCAAATCCTACCCAAACCCGATCCGATCAGAGCCTTAATCTGCGCCATGTAATTTTGACTTCTTGAACTCTCTTGAAATCACAAGAGCCCAACAACGATCAACATCATCAATCCTTTCACTCCCTCGTTCTAGTTCCAACTTCGAGAAAGAATTTTGAGATGTTCCGCAACAATCTTGCTCTAGTACAACAACAATTCTTTTTTGATAGAACAAACTTTTTGTGTTTAACTTTCATCGCCTTCCTTGAAACACGACCTCCAGATCTTGAGCGAATGTGGAGATTTTGCAGCATAGTGAAAGCCTGAACTGTAAGATGAGTTGTTGTTTGTGTGAATAATATAGCCAAGGAGTTCATCATAGTTAGTTTAGGTTTAGCTAAACTAAGTCTAGCTAGTTATTACTAAACTATAGCTAAACTAAGTTTAGTTGTAATTTATATACTTGGCAAAATGATTAAGTAAGTTTTAGAAGATTTGAGTGAGCACAAATATTTTGTTTTATTATCAAAGTTTAGATACCAAGGATGAAAGATTTTGACTACATGATTAGTTTTGATTGGTTTGACTAAGTAATGGAAACTTCATTGGTTAGACTAAATCTAATGTTGACTTAATGGCAAGAAGATGTTCTAGAAGTTTGAAAGTCTCGAATGTCATGTCGCCATCTCAATCTAGGGATCATGAACTTTTAGAATGTTTAGGTAGGCCAAATACATGTTGCCACATATTGAGAATTAGTCAAAACTATCATGAATTATCCCAAGAAAGTAAACTATGAGATAATTATCATATTTTACTATGATAATTTTTCAAGTTTTATACATAGAGAATCAAAGAGTACAGAATTTCAAGCAAGTTTGGAAAGTTCATTTGTAGAGAATTGTTTCATCAATGAAAGAGTGAGGTTTTCAATATTTTGGAATGTCGATATGTGTGTGAACTTGAGTGATGAATGTAGAGTATGTGTGAAAGTGTGTTTGAGATATGAATATGAGGAGAAATCTTAGACTTCTAGAATCGTGATGAGCTAATGCAAAGACATCTGAGATAAATCTGAGTGAGAGTCAGATTGGAGGTTAAATAAGTAGCGTCTTAGAGCTATCATTGATTCTCTCAAAAAGTGACGCCAACACAAACAAGACAAGATTTTGCACGTCTTCTTGTTGGTAGATCTATGGATATTAGCATTTGCAGTTTGTTCATGTCCGCACGTTGAGTCTTGTTTTCTTCTTCTAAATTCTTCACTTCCATTAATCTAATTTTTGTCATTTCAATAGACATTCCTTGAAAAAAATCTACTGCTCTTTTTTTATCTTAAAAAGAACCGCATCACAATGAGATTACTCAACAAATAAAACATAACTTTGAAAATGAGAGATATCTATAATGATCTATTGTTTCTTATATGTATCTTACCAACAAGTAGAGTAATATAAGATTTCAAATTTATCATTCATTTCATTTATAGTGAATTGATGATATGGCGATACTCTAATAAGTATATGGATTCTTGACATGTCCGTATCATATAATACAAGTACTGTATACTAATTAAACATATGACATGCTCATGTGATCATTATAAGTAGTTCACTAGATTCTATATATTGTAATCTCTATTTCAATTTAACTAACTAAAGATATTTAATCATGATGAAAAAAAAAAAATATCTCTTCACATTAAAAACTATGAATGTTGACTAATCATTCATTCAACATAAAAACCAGAAGATATATAGATGTATATACATATTTATTTATTTTTTGGTTTTGCAACTAGAAATTTTATAAGCATGACAATGAAAATATATTGTACAAGGAGATGGACATATATCATTTGTGGATGATTCGTCTATAAACTAAATATTAACATATTGGAGTATGAAAAGTAATAACTTATTTGTTTCTCTATTTCTGGATCTCCGCCTATGAACTTTGCCAGGTTTTTGTACAAACTTAACTTACCATGCTAGATCTCTAAAAAAACTATAGTGCAATATTACTTACTTTTAAAACAACACACTTTTCATAGAAGTGTACTCCAATAAACATAATCAGTTCATGTGATTTTTTAATGATTTTTGTAGGGCGAATTCAAATAGAAATCATTACATTCATGTATATCGTTATGTTTACTCATCTCCAATTGTGTATTTTAAGTCCGAGAGAATACGATCATTCAGATATCACTTCGTTCGAATGAAGCCAAGAAAGTAAAGATCTTGTTATACTATAGTAATCGTGGAACAAAGTCAACACTCGGGTAGGAGATCAAAGGACTCGAAAAATCAGTTCACTTGAACATGTTAAAGTTGTGTTGTACACAAGGTCCATATGAGACTATTTGTCGTGTAACTACTCCCCGTACCAAGAAACTGGAATAAGTACTGTACTGGATTCATAATCGTATCTTGCAGAGACAGAGCTACAGGAACAGAAGAAGATAAGCCAACAAAATAAACCGTTTGAACAAATGTAGTGAGAATGCTGCTCCCACATGAACTCCATGTGATATTTATGCTTAAACCTGACTTTGTACGGGAATAATACAATAGAGACAAACAAATCAAACATAACAGAATAGAGAAGTGAAATGAATCGAAAGCCGTACAACATGTACTTTGATTGTACGGAGAAAAATGGTCCAAAAACGTTCTTTTATCATTATTGTAGATGAAGTGCGAAACACGTAGTCTATATAGGATATGTATTTAACATATAAGAGTTACATGGAAACATATAGTCTTGGGTTTCGTATTGGAAATGTTTATTTTCATCGTGTATAATGAATATAGCTGATGTTCATCATAGTTATAATGACACTCGAGATATATCATTGTCTACATGCCATCCGAATTGAAAAAACGTTTATGATATCTAAATGTGATTGTGTCCTCGATAATGAATAGATCAAAAATTTCCATGTTGCCCAATGTGAAGTAGATGTACAATGATCATGAGGATTTTCACTATATCTCTCTAGAAGCTACTGACATAAATATATGTTAGCTATAGTTCAAAAAGGCTAGGTTTGAAAACGAATAAACAACTGCAATTGCAACTGGCTTGCACATGAAGTTTATGATCTCGAGGATACGAATAGTACGTCAGTCTGAAACAATTTGCATGACATCTTTCTACCTCTACTTTGGTATCTTACAAGCTTCTAGCTTTCCCTTTCGGCCCTTATTCCCAACCTAGATGAACATCGAGAGAACTTTTTCTACTTTGCAAAGATAGGGTACAGAACATATGAGCAAATAGAATGAGTTTTCAATTCCCGGGAAAGAAGAAGAGTAGTAATTCCAGAAACTGTACAACTTAGTCATCAAGCTAAACCATGTACCGATATATCGTTACCATCCATTTTAAATGATGCACCAATAATTCTTATCTTCATAAGAACTTAATGACTAAAAATTGGTGATTAGAACACCTAGTACTTGGAGATCTGCAAGCGTTAGATCTTATTCCTAATGTTAAAAACCTTCCGAATGGCACTAGTTGAAAATAGTAACCTTGAAGGAGTTAGTCTCAAACGACGAGACCTGTAGACTTTTGTCTTGCTCTATCTGCAAGTTCCCTACTGTCATAGAATACAACCACGCGTCTAAGCGGATGATGATTTACAATTTAATAGTTTGACACATGAGAGTGTATATGACATTTGAGCTCACTTAATATATTACAAGGTGCAATTGGAATCAATGACGGTATTTTAGAGTTCAAAGAATCAAATACTTTTAAACTCAAATTGTGTAGGATTTATTTTAAGCCTCTGATGTAGGCAAGTTACACAAGCTTACTTTTGGTTAATGATAGGGAAATATGAAAAGTAGTTACGTGCATCTAGGAGAGAGGAGCATTTTGGGCATCCATGCAAAAACAATCCACCTAATCTTAAAAGACGTATAAATATTACCTTCCATGAAAAGTTATCATGTCAACTATTATACAAGTATCCAGACGAGAATGACTACCTTCCCGTGCAAGGTTCATCCTCATCAACATTCTCATTCTCATATATGTGTACTGAGTATCTGACGAAAACTTAACGAACCTGGGATCTCTCCGAGGGAAAAAGATCGTACGAATAACAAGCACTAAAATGGATGCGTGGTAAAAGGTACACCCATTCAATTTATGAGGCATACTCAAATTGAAAGTAAACTGGACATGGCAAAGGAGACGAAGAAGAAAAAAATACAAAACAATTCTACATTGGAGTACCGAGTGACAAAGCAAAAAGAAGATCACTCCATGAAAATGATTACGCTATGACTTCAGCCTTCACGAAGTAGGAGAAATCCACAAAAAGGTTCGAGTGGGGCCACCACGCGAAGGCAAGCATGACCATGGCAAGGTGAGGTCAGCAAAGGTGACATCAGGTCAACGAGGAAGACGCTTTGAGATTCATTTCCATTGATGTCTCGGACTTCGAGAGGGGTCAACTGAGATGCGGCTATTCTCGCTGGTCAGCCAATCTGGCCCCCAATATGCGGCCATGAAGCCATGAGCCCTTGCATAAAGCAGAGCTCGCTAACCTTTCGGATTCTCGTCGTCTGATTCGACTTCAGAGAAGCGCATACTGTCACGTGAACTACCAACTTCCTTCCCCTCCGTCCGGCCCGGCTCGACCTGCTGACATCAAGGCTTGTACGAATCCCCGCTCTAAGCCCCGCGACAGGTTCCAGACTGCGCAAGCTAAGCGATAGCAAGAGTGATGCTCTTGCATAGCTGAGCACTTCACTCGTCCGAACCACGTCGAACCACTTCGTATTGGAACCTCGGACCTGGAGCCTTGTGCCAAAGTACCATCGAGGATAACAGTCCACTTAAGAAGAATTTTGGCCTCGAGGTGTCCATCTCCGAATGGCGAGCGTTCTCGTGGATGGACCTGGCTGGTTAGGCGGTGCTGGTGACTTTGGGTTGTCAGAGTGTAGCTCACGGAGGGAATTCACGTACATGGCCGACGCAGAGTTGTGAATCTTCTTATTGATGCTTTGGGTCTAGCGCCAGATCTTTTGAGGGTCAGAGCCCGTGATGATCGAGAATTACGAGGCGACAAGGCGTACGTAGGCCCTTTCGATGTTGCGCAGGGTTGGCGATCGAGGGGTGACGGCTGCGTACGTGGTCATGATTTTCTGGTTTAAGAGAGGCAGAGGCGGTTGCCGTGCATGTGTTTCTGGGCTGGACTGTCGCCAGTGGACCTCGAGGTGGGGACGTTGTTCTCGTGCCGAGCACCATCCGACAGCCTCCAGGAGCTATAAAAGGCGGCAGTGCAAGCAAGCTCGTGCCCAGCAGATCATCATAATCTGACTCAGTGAGCGGTGACTGCTCAGAGTAGAGACGGAGTACGAGGAGGGCGCAAATTGTCTCTCTACATTCGAGTCAAGAAGCGACGAGGGGACGTACCGTAGTAATGGCTAGTAGAATCGCGCAGCTTCAGCATGTCCATCATCTGAGGACCGGGCTTCGCGGGCTGGCCCGGGCTCTGGGAGGAATTTCTCGTACAACAGAGGGCATGTCGAGAGATCTCCATGAAGTCCCGTCTTCGAGGCGCCACGCTCAGACGGTGACAGCAGGGACGGAGCCGACGTTGAGAATTGCCAAAGATGCCACCGCTGTAAGTCACGGATTCGCTGAGTTGATCATGGGGTCGTATTCAAGAGAGCAGTCTCAGAAAGTCACCGACGACAGATCCACAGTGTAGAGCCACTACTGGTAGAGGAGCTGTTTGCCTGCTTAGAATTGGTTCGGTAGCTGGCTCTTCAGTAATGTGCATTATCAATACCCGAATACTCGTTCCAGACTAGAAGTCTTCTGGGAGTAGCATGGATAAAGGAAAGAAAGAAAAGAGTTTACGAGGTTCGATCCAGCCATTAGTGTTTTATAGTGTCTGGAACGCTTTCTGTATGTGAGCTGAGACCTGGAAAAATGCACCACCGATTGGGAATAAGTAGTTGACTCGAAAAGCAGCTCTACGATGTCCAGACTCAACAGCATGACTGACATGCAATGAAAGGAGGCAACGTCATGATATCTGTAAATGTTCTCTTTCCAGCTTAATGAGACTGTGGTGGCTTTGCAGTTGGTGGGACGGACTCCCATGGTCTTTCTCAGCAAGATATGTGAACACTTCGGCGTCAAAGCTAAGATTGCTGGAAAAGTGGAGAGCATGCAGCCTTTATCAAGTGTGAAGGATCGGTAAAATGCTCGTAGCTTGCAAGAAACTCAATGCTTGGTACTGCTTAGTGTTGACTGTATTGTGATCTGATGATAGAAATTCAACCCGGCCGGAGCCTCCCTGCACGGTGGCTTCTAGAGCGACAACATGACTACTGATTTTTTATTCGTGGGCAAGGCAAGGCAAAACCCATGGCTTAAATGGCATGAAATGCTCCATAACACTCCGAAATGGGGTTCAAAGGTTACGTGAAAGCTAATATATGAAAGCTGCTCGGGTGGTACAGTATTGGACTCGCCATGATCCAAGATGCTGAAGCCAAGGGATTGATATCACCTGGAAAGGTATTATGACCTCTGTTTTGAAAATGGTGCTCGTTTTTGTGATATTTTTATCCGACTCAGAGATTGATTGCTGGGAATTGTAGATTATTCAACAGTGCGCTTTGTGCTCGTTCTCAACTATTAGACTGAGAGAGGGCGTTTGGTATTGCAGACAACTTTGGTCGAGCCGACTTCAGGTAACATGGGGATCGCACTTGCGTTTCTTGCGGCCTCCTTGGGTTACAGGCTCATTTTGACAATGCCCGCTTACACCAGCCTTGAGCGCCGCGTTGTACTGCGCTCTCTTGGAGCCGAATTAGTTCTTACGGACCCAACCAAAGGGATGGGCGGTACCGTTGCAAAGGCTCATGAAGTCTTGGCGAGGACCCCCAATTCTCATATGCTTCAACAGTTCGAGAACCCCAACAATCCCAAGGTGCGTGCTGAAGGAAGATTGCCCCATGTTAGCTTGATCTCCAGTAGGCACAGGTACAGATTATTGGACTACACGAAATGCGTTGGTAGCAAGTGCTTTAAGTTTGAGAATCTTCAGAACATTGCGTCATGAAAACCACTGCTCGACCATCGGTTGAGCAATGACTGTGTATGCATTGTGTCAATCCATCTGATTAATCGTCCGATCACTTGCTTTGGTCATCAATCAGGTTCATTATGAAACTACCGGCCCTGAAATCTGGGAGGACACAGCTGGCAAGGTAGATATCTTTATTGCTGGAATTGGCAGCGGGGGAACTGTAACTGGCGTTGGAAAATATCTGAAGGAGAAGAATCCGAACGTGAAGGTATGTTTCGACCTCGGATTCTTCCATGCAATCAGAGATCGTATGGTATAAAACCGCTGGAGCTAATGGATATGCTGAATCGGCTCATTTGCAGATATATGGTCTTGAACCTCTCGAAAGCAACATTCTCAATGGAGGAAAACCAGGTACAGACTCTCGCTCTGCTCATAACGAAGAGTCTACTGTACTGTCTTCGATTCTGGGTTTTACTCGTAACCGCTGCCGAAGAATCATCCATGATGCATATAAATTTCTGTCGAAATGCGACTCTGGACAGGTCCTCACCAGATTACAGGAACGGGAGTAGGCTTCGTTCCGGGCATTTTGGACGTGCCCATGATGGATGGAGTTGTCGAGGTCAGCGTATCCACACCGGTGTTAAGTTTATCAATTTTATGCATACATTTTTGTAGTAGTTGCTGCAAAATCAAGAGCACGCATATACAACAATGACAACTGGGCAGAATTTAACGAGGTTACAGGAAGTTTACGGGGTATTCGCGGGGTCTAATAAGGGCAGAGTATTTAGCATGTCTACAATAAATACTCTACACTAGATGTAAACCAAAAAGTTTATTCCCCTCAGAGCTGCATAAGATCTCCTAGTAAATAGCCCTCTTGGAAGTTTCTTGAATCCATGTCATCACTAGAGTCTGGAGATGAGCTTTAATTTAGTCTATTTGCTGTTGCTCTGAATGCAAGAGTTGATTAGGAGAGACTACTTCAGATTTGACCTGAATATTCTTGTCCTCTTATGTATCTCAGGTTGCTAGCGAAGAGGCTATCAAGATAGCAAGACTTCTTGCATCAATGGAAGGCATCCTGGTAAGTTTGACAATCTTATATCTACCAGTTCTCGCGGTGTGTCGAGTGTCTTTAATTCCCATGAATGCTGAATTTTTTTTTTCACTCTTTCAACGTTTTTATCCGCTCTCTCACCAAACGTTGTACTTTCTGCAAACAAGGAATATAGATATAGTCAATTTTATTGATTTGAAGTTCTAAGTCTTTGAGCTGAAAATCGAAATGTGCCGCACAACGTCCTTCACCCAGTAAAATGCGTGTGTGAAATTATAGGGAATAATGGTCAGAATTGGAATGGTTTTCTAATATTTTATCTTATGTAGAGTAAACTGCTTGACTTGCATCGGATGCGAAGGATTTTAATTTCTAAATCATGTGTGATTTACAGGCTGGAATATCTGCAGGTGCAAACACAGCAGCAGCTATCAGGCTGGGGAAGATGCCTGAGAATGAAGGAAAACTTATAACTGTGAGCTTGACTTCACCATCTCCTTTGCTTGACGCAGTGATACGGTGTCAAAGAACAGTGATACAGTGATACGATTTCTCTTGAATCTCGGGAGAAGATACAAAGAAGGAGTTTTATCTAGTAGTAGAAGATGAAAGGTATTTGCAATTGCGTGGCCATCAATATATTATGTGAAACAGAGTGTTATGGTGATCTGTGCAGATCATCATTCCGAGCACCGGAGAGCGGTATCTGTCGACAAATCTGTTTTCTTCCTTGAAAGATGAATGCATGGCGATGGAATTTGAACCTTGATGCTTTACACCAACGAAGCGGAGTCGTCAATCATAAACATGTATAGACGCAGAAATACGGGAAACGAGCTCTAGGGTTGTAAAGGGTTTGGCTATCAGTTTAGCAGTAACCTGCAGACATCAATGCCAAGTGCAAGAGAAATCTTAAAGCTATGATAGAAAAAATTCAGGATGTCAATTCCGATGGTCTGCAAGGTATGCAGTAATAAATTGAAGTACACAACTTGACCACATTCAGAGTATGGTTGCAATTCTCTCTCTGCTAGCACGGATGATGCAACTTGTGAAATACCTCTTTCCATTTTATACAATGTGCACTTCGAGAGGTGGAATAGTACCGTGCAAAAAGGCTTCGTGTACCGTGTCATGCATATTTGAGCTCTGATTGAAAATTCGCACTTCAATGGAAATAGTCTTGTGATCTATGTCTACTCAACGCACTGAATTGTGATGTAGCTGATAAAATGTCCACATTGAAGCACCTCACCCGCGTCGGAAATCTGGAATCTGTTTAGAGTGCCAAGTCGCTACGACCTGTGAGTGAGAGAGAGAGAGAGAGAGAGCTCTTCCGTGGAGGAGTGAAGAACTGCAGGTGTGAAAAGACGGATCTGCAATAAATCTGCCCATTTGCTTCAAACGATTCAAGAAGTAGCTTTCAATTCAGAGCCATGTTGTGAACCTGTGTCTTAACTAGTTGTTTGCATGTAATTGACGAGCTGCAGTGCCTGGTGGAAGGTTGGCTTGTTCTCTATTCCCTGTGTCTAACCGCATACTGGCATGACACTCAGCGTGCAGAGGATTATATGATAGTCTTCTATTTTATCGGAGTTGTTATGAACTTCAAAGAGTTTTGCATAAAAGCCGAACTTTCTGGGTTTAGTGTGAATGCAAAGCAAACTTCATCATCCTTTAGGAAATTTCTGGCCTGCAGAGATCGCCCACCCTTCGATCCTTGTGGAGTGAGATACATTCCTCGTGAAGAGCAAGAGTCGAAATCTGGCGCTGCTACGAATGAGTCGAAGAAAAAAACCGAACCACTGAAAATTTGTCCAGGGTGGAGAGAGTGATCATGCTACATATGGGCAAATAAATTTCCTCGACTCCCGAGATGAGTGATTTCATGTAACGGCAAATTCTGATCTTATGACCGTAGAACTGCTGCCGGATGGGCGATTGTATATCCTCTGCTGCAACATGCGATCCATTGCAGGACTGACAATCACATCTTTGGCCCCAACTGACTGGCTTTCTCGAGTTTCCCGCATGCCGAGATTGATGGGGGAGGCAAATTGTGCAGTGCTCAGGATGCGAACTGGAATTTGGTTGCTCCATTGAAGAATCTGTCTGAAAATCGTCTTTTGGACCTTTCTTGAACTCTGCTTCAAAGAATGCTGCGATGGCGTTCATCTGACGAGAGCTCGGGCATTTATTTGAGATTCCTTTCGGTAATAAAAAAAGAGCGAGGGTAGTCCTGAACGAGCAGAAGGGCAGAAAGATTGATGTTCTATGAAGAATCTAAATTCTCTCTGCCTCGAGGAGATCCGGATGCCACCATTGCCTCAGTAAAAGTGCCGAGATTCCCATTGCAGCTCCAAAAATGCCCGGCTTGCGGCGGGACGTCCTGCGGTGGCTCGTTGCCCTCAATCTTTCATTCCCGATCAAGAACATCAAGAGGTCTCTACTCTGACTTTCGTGCCCCTGTTGTCATCCTGCTTCTAGGTTTTGTGACGACGGTGTCGCATGGGGCTTCGACCATAGTTCATGTCCTACTCTCCGGAGTGAACTGATTCTGCCAATAATCCAAACCAACAACGAGTGAGCAATCCGACATTGCCATTGGGGATCCCCGATGGCAATCTATCTCGAAAATCCAATCCAGAAGTTGCGACCTCTGTACAGGATACTCCAGACAGTGCCTGGCAATAGTTGGCCCCTGGCGCGACTTTATTAGCAGATGACAATTTGTCGACCCAGACAACAAGAGGCCAATTCGAGTGCATGCTTTTCTGTACAGATCTGATTGTGATCGAGTGACGAAACCTAGAATGTCATGTCTGAGAGCATTTTACGCAGTAGCCGAGGAGATCGAAAATCTTCATGGGGAGGCCACATCGAGCGTGGAATCACTTCGTCGGAACCAGTTTCGGAGAACGACTCCTCTCGGAAATTCGGCCGGTTCCTAACCTTTCGTTCGTTAGCTTGACTTTGACGTGTGACGAATGGCACTAGAATGTGCAAGTCAATGATCGTCCGACCATTCCAGCTGCAGCCCTGCTCTCTGCTAAATCAGAAGTTTTTTCCTCGAGGTTTTAGCTTTCGTAGAACAAAATCCATTGTCGTCAGCTGGATGTCCCGAGTCTCCATAGCCAGGAGTTCAATCATGTGTTCTGCTGGTTACCAGTCGCTGTATCGGTGCATATTCATGCTGACACCGAGATATCAGTGTTGACTATTGCATTGACTATGATATATGATATGGACTCCGAGATTTTAGTGTCTCCTTTGGCGGCAGACGCTGTTTTGGCCTCCATGACGCATTTCCCATGAAGTTTGTGCACCCTTTGTGCTGTCTCGTGCATTGTTAGTTACGGTTCGTCGTTTACGATGGTGGTTCGACATGCTGTGCAGGGATTTCTCGAATGGCTTCATGGTGGCGGAAATATTTTCTCGCTACTTCCCACAGGATATCCACATGCACTCCTACGACTATGGAAGTCGTCTGGCCACGAAGCGAGACAACTGGGAGCAGCTAAACAAGTTTTTTAGGGCAAGTACTGTTCTCTCCTTGGACTCTTTTCCTGCCTCATGGATCTAGACAATCGGTCGAAAGTGAGACTGAGTGTTTGAGTCTCAGTCTGAGCACATCTCTGGCACCCCCTGGTGGTGTGTGTGATTTGACTCGGTCTCATGCCGGAATCATGCTTGAAACCATCGGCAGCTGTGGTATAATTATCTGCACGGAAGTCAACATAATTTAGTGGAGGAAAATCAGATACCAACAGCGTGAATTAGCTTGAGTTCAATGTTTGAAATTCTTCGGTCCATGTTTTGAACATTGATGGACAGGAATGGGTGATCAAATCTGTGGACACTCTACAGGTCCTAGGGTCAGACCTTGATTTCCCAAATGGACACACTTCACTGAGCACTCACAGTGCACTCTCTTCACGCAGCACTCACAGGACCTAGCACAGAGGTCGTCTGCGCATGTTCCTGTCATGAACAGATTCCCTCACACAGTGATTAGCGTTAAGTAAATAACTGGAATGTCATTCCTTGCAATAGCATGACAATCTCCTCTGCCGCCAGTCTTGCGAGGAAGTTCAGCTGGTTGTGGTAAGGATCAGAGTTATGCATTTCCTCACTTGAACCTCATCTACAGAAAAAGGGTTTCATTGCTGTGAAAGATGAGGTGGACAATATGATTTCCCAAATGGACACACTTCACTGAGCACTCACAGTGCACTCTCTTCACGCAGCACTCACAGGACCTAGCACAGAGGTCGTCTGCGCATGTTCCTGTCATGAACAGATTCCCTCACACAGTGATTAGCGTTAAGTAAATAACTGGAATGTCATTCCTTGCAATAGCATGACAATCTCCTCTGCCGCCAGTCTTGCGAGGAAGTTCAGCTGGTTGTGGTAAGGATCAGAGTTATGCATTTCCTCACTTGAACCTCATCTACAGAAAAAGGGTTTCATTGCTGTGAAAGATGAGGTGGACAATATCATCCAGTGCAACTCGGAAGATGGAGCGGGCCCGCTATTGGAGCGGATGTACAATTTTTTGACCCAGAAACCGTAGGCACCGATCCCGCCCCTGCAGATACAACTGTCAATTGTTGTGATACTCCATGCCTGAGTGCTTGTTAGGAGAGCTCCCCTCCCGAAACAAAACTGAAGCCTGTCCTGAAAACAACTCGTTGGCTGCAACATAATCAAACTATCTCTCTTTCTGTCCTTGCTGCGCATGCTTGTAACTTTTATGAAATCTACTAGATAATATTGCAGGTCAATCAGTGCCCTAGTGTCCTCTTTCTTCGCTCAAAACCTTGTGCAGATGATGGTCGGGCGATGCTTCATGCAATTTGTCCTTCATCCTTCGTGTGTTCAAACGGTGACATGTGACCTAATGCTCTGTTCTAGGTTCTGATCAAATGGGTTTTGGGTCCTGGGTTCTATTACATCTTCAGTTATGTTCCTGAAAGTGCAGCGGAGCAGGGCAGTCTGGAAAACAGGGATCCTTCACAGCCTGATGACTACACGTCACGTGACGAAGGGGAAGAGGAGGAAGAAGATGAATGCTCGGGGAGCGACAGCGGAACTCTTTCTGAAACTGAAGGTGAAACCGACGACGGTGGAGCATGTATGAGACTGCAGGAGGACAATTACTCTGAGAGAGCCGGCGATGGACTTATTCGACTGAGCCCCGATGGGAGTGGCTTCGACTTTCAGCCCCTTGTGAGACTAGACGTGGAGGAGAATGGGAATGATGACTATTTCGGCTGCTTGGACAGTGGTGTGAGATTTCTCGGTGAAGATGGAGGCCAAGAGGACGAGAGAGTGGAAGAAGAACAGCCCACGAAGAAGAAGTCTGTCAACGCAGTCGAGAAAGCTCGGCAGAGAGAAAACACCAAAACCAGAAGGATCGAGAAGGCCGGAGTCAAGGCGGGATTAAAAGCCAGTGAGCTGAAGCAGGCAATTGCTGGGCGCAAGTCATCGACTGATGCAGGATTGGCTTTCCGCAGTCCGAATCGAAATCGGAAGGTTTGCTCTTCTTTATGTCATTCACCAGACCTGGTGCACAAGTTGCTTGAAGCTGAATATGAGGTTTGCGTTTATTCTCTTGATCTGAAACAAGTCTAATCTCGGCCAAGCTTGACAGGAGAACTTCAAGCAATACACTTTACCAGACTACAGGCGTCAGAAGCAATTTGGGTATGTCCAGCTTGGGAGCTTGGGTCCCAAAGAAGATCCAGAACTTGCTTCAAAGGTTTTCCTTGAAGCTATTCCTTGACTAAATACCTCTTTACTTGCAAATTTGGTTCATTGAAGTTGGTTTCAGATGATGCTCTTAAGGTTCAAGGTGCTTTGTGCCTTCAATGGTTAACTTGGTACACGGGATTACTGCCTGAGAAATAGGTGTAAATTGACGTGAGATTCTGATCTCGTTTTGACTCTATGCACATGGTGAACTCAGTTGCACGCGTTGCAGCGGGTGAAAGAGTTCGGTCGACATGCTAGAAGCTGCAATACGATGTCACATACCAATCCTGCGGTACATGTAACTCCCACGAGCAAATATCTGACTTGGACTTGCATGAACGTAAACTGTAAAAGGAATTTAGCTTTCGATTTCGATGCAGTTCGTTGCAACTATTAATTTTCTTTGTATCTGGTTGGCACGCCGTCAGCTTGCAAGTCCGAAGGCACCAAAGAAACCGTCATCAAGAAAAGTGGTAAATTCCCGTCGATGTCCCCATACCTTTTGTACCTGGCACTTGCAGTATCTCCGCTCAGATTTTTGAGAAGACTTGTGAAGTAAGAAGCTCATCCAAGCCTGTCTTGAGCTATTTGCCGTGGTTTCCGTCGGACGGGTGTACGAGGATCAGGCTCTGGAATTCGCGTCGTCAATTCCGAAGCCAAAACGGAAGAATCACAGCAAGGAAGAGTCGAAGAAAGTTTTGCCCATCCAGAATCCTCATGGGCTGACGGAGCTTCAAATTCTTGAGATGAAACATCAGTCCCACAAAGAACACGTCGAGGTACTTCAACCCAACCCCACACCTATCTCAACACCAAAACCTTGTAGCGATCTTAGTTGCATATTCTTATCGCTTAGGCAGTAGTTCGTCGAATAGGGGGTCATTCAAGTACTTACTTCTATAGTTCCCACGTCAGGAACTACCACCACGGTCATAAATCAGGTAAGCAGAAGAAGGTTTCCTGGTCTTTGGATTCCTTCAGTCCCGCCGAGGTTACTGACAGGTTAGTCTTGTCCTAATTCGTACCATGCAAATGTTCTCAGGCCATTCGACGAGATTTGGAACACTTTCTCCGGTGATGTAAGCAGTGGAAGACCTGTGACCCGTCTTTAGACCGAGGTGCCAGCTCTAGACGGTAGAGGACATGCTGGCTAATTGCTCGATCATGTGTCTTAGGCATCGCTTTGCTGGTCTTCGAAGACTTGCATATGCTGTTACTTGAAATCAGGAAGGCTTATCTCGACAAGAACTCCGACTCGCCCTGAATTGGTTGTTTGATGTCACAAATGCTCATGGCGGATTTGGGGCTAAAGATGGGTCGACAAATTGGGTTTCGGGATTATGGCTCCTCTCTCCGTACTTACACAGGCAACTTTGTAAGGATTATGGACTTCGTCATGGCCAGCTGAAGCCCTCACTGCACATTAAGAATGATTATTGAAAGTTCGCAATGTCTTACTATCACTGGTTCTTCATTTAAGTTGTGTTTGCGGTTGGGCTTCCATACAATAAATAAATAAATAAATATATATTATCATATGTTAGAGTACATAACATATGATTGGGTATTTCTCAAACTACTCAGCCGAATATTGTCATATCTTGCATTAGTCAGTCGTGCATTAGTCCAGAAGTTAGTCGCACTTCGTGACAAGGAAGCATCTTGCATGAAGATAACGGAACGCTTACCATGACTCTATTCCAAAAAGCTCTTTATTCATCTTTCCTCTACCCAAGGTTTGCTTTAGCTGGGAGTTTTAAGACATTTTTTGTGGCTACCACACATGTAGATCCCAGAATTAATTGTAGTGTGAATAGAGCTAGTTCCAAAGTGATTCGAGCACATGTAAATGTGTAAGTTTATACTTCTTCTACTCATGGTGGATAAAGAAAAACCTATACATCAAATTCACGGAATTTGATCTATAAACTTATCGACATTAACTATCAACCCAATTACAAGTTCCAGATAAATAGATTAGCAGCTCGGAGTTACACTGTCTCAATAAACTTTTGTCGACTCTTGTGTGTGTGTGTGTGTGTGTTTGGTAACCAAACTTTGGTTACCTTCACAAACAACTGATCGCAATCGAGGTTATTAGTTGTGAGGGTTGCAATTCCTTAGTCATTTTACCATGTCTTCACTCACAATACAAAAATCAAACTTCTGCGGAAAAACATAAAATTAACCTTTACAAATTAAAGATTCTTACGAAAGTCATATCTCTACACTACACTTTCTCGTCCATCCATACAGACGCTTTAGGAGACGATCAGTCACTTTGACTTTTGCCAAGAAAGCATTAATCGCCGCCTCTAGATCTTGCAATACCTTTAGATATTCCGTGTGCATTTTCTTGATTGCGTCTATATTCTCGGAGACAACCATCATGTAAACATTTGGTGATGTCCTTCCATGTCCGACCAAAATGCTCAATAGCTCTCGGATTTTTTACCGTCTCTCCGATTTGGCGTGCTTACAGCAAACAAAAAAGAAGCAAATTACTTGCTCAAGACGATGCTCAAGTGGTGGTGCGATTGTTCAAAATCCATCATATGGATACGATCCAGAATGGTAGTGGGTTACAATCAAGACTGCTACTTCTTCATGGTCGGTCCGCTTAGTTTCGGATTTTATCGGAGTTTCCCACATTTAATTCTCACTTTGGGCATGGTTTTTTCCAAACAGGCTTTCACCTTTTTGATTTGCAGAAACTCTGTGGACATATCGACTCGATTTTGTTCGACTAAGTGCATAAATTCTAAACAGTCCGTAGCTTCGTGACGTTTTTTCTTGGATAAGATCCCATGGAGGCACAATAATTCTCATCATTTGTATATTAAGGTGGATGATCTAGGTGGGTAACCTAGTTTGATGGGTAGATAATAGTTAAAGGTAGATATATATAAGTTGGTGTCATTTTTAGTGTGGTTATTTTTAAGAAGGATAGTAAGTTGAGGAAATTTTAGGTTTATATGATAATAATTATGGAGCTTGAATAAGTCGAGATCTACCTTTACAGATTATGTCTTGAGTTCTCATTTACGAGTTAGATCGAGCATAGTAGGAAGTAAACTTGGAAATGTAGCAAGTCTTATGTTCCAAATCTCTTGGTATGAGTCGAAATTACAATCTTTGCCATCATGACAGATGAAGCGCGCCTATCATTTATCATTTTACTGCAAATAAGTTTGCTATATATGAAGATAACACTGGCCTAAAGCATAAATCTTGCCACATTGGCAAATAAATGCACAAACAAAAGCCTTCGTCTGCAAGGCGGTCTAAATTGTAAAATCTATTTCATGAGCAATTGGAGCGCCTTTGAAAAGTTGAAACCGGGCTAGGGCAGATAAATTAACTGATCTGGACTTTCATTGTCTAGAATCCAGACAATGTAGGTTCAGAAACAATCAATAGTCCATTAGCTTTAGGGTTTCATTATATCAGGCATAGAGGGAGAAGTTTGCGCATGATCAAACCGAAATGTAGATTTCTCTTGTTTTAAGTATTCAACATTCTCCGTAGGTAAAGGGAACACATTCAAAGTTAGATTTTCTTCAACCATGCTAAATATACAGAGGATATTTTTATTTAACTATGTTCTGACTGCCTCTATCATTGGACGGATTAGAGTGTCTACAGGCAGGGGAGCCGACATTTTAAAATGAGCTGATGTGCAGCAAAAGGAAGGTTGAGAGTTGCAAATAAACCGCAACGTGGACATAGTCATGTTCGGTATTGGACAATAAAGCATTTCCACCTAAGCTGTGCAACCAATTTGACACAAATTACGACAACTGATGATCTGATAACATGCCGCGCAAATCGACTTCCAGAATGTGCAAAGGAGTAACATTTTCGTGTGCCAATTGCCCCAACATTCATTTTATCGAGTTCATTAGATGACTTTTCTCCATCCTTCAGAGAATCAAAGATCGTATTGAAGCACTGGGATTTCAAGGAAATTGCACATGAGAAGGTCATTCGTGGAGACCTGACTGCTGTACCAGGATTAGCTCCTCCTGAAATGTAAGATCATGAAATCAAGCATGGGTTTTGTGAATATGAAGTTTACTGCGTGGAGCAGAAAATCAGTAGACGTTAGATTTCCGTCCAGGTGTCCAGTGAAATCCAATCTGAATCGGTCGGAAGAACAGATAGAGCTCTACACTTCAAGATATCTACTTCAACATTCTGAAAACAGAACTAGCAAGTTCTCGTTTTGATAGACAAGATTCATTCGGTGCATGTGACTGCAGTCGTATACATGTTCCAGTTTTGTAGCTTCTCAGCACATAACTTTCATGCCTAGGAGAAGTTTTTAGGACCATTTCAACCACAGTCTACGTGAGCTATCTCAACATTTCGTAGAATAGCATGGCAATTCGGAAACACTGCTCGAGGAAGGTGTTACCATCGGCCGGCAAGACGAAGTTTATCTCTACAAAGATGTAAAATGCAACAGCTCCCTTTCCTCAGTCCCTATTCCATTCGAAGGGAAGGCTAGATTTCCCTCGATAAACCGTTTTCAGATGCCGTTTTCAGACTTAGGAACTTTGGAGTGTAGTGATTTTCCGCGTCCATAGTCCCTGATTATCACATGAAGTTATTGGAGTCAGTGGCATATGATTTCGAGACTTTAACAGCAGAAAAAAAAATTAAACCATGTCCAACACACGAAGCTGAAACGAACGCAAGCGAATTATAAGACCAGGTCTTTTTTAATTACTCACAGACGAGCCCAGAATTCATCCAGTTGTTGAGGTCGGGAGCCACTGCGTAATACAACACGCCGTTGTCGAACTTGAATTTGGTCTCCGATGGCCCCTTGAAGTACCAAGCGAGCACTTTCATGTAGTACTTCTGCTCATTGTTAGGAGGCCTAGAGTACCTTGTGATATCGCATTCAACCTGCTTGACTCCTGGGCATTGATCCACTTCCACCGTAGTATTAGCATCGGGCCTCAGAAGAAATTTAGGCGTAAGAGTGCGGCGATATGTGTCGTAAACACAGGTGCATTGTACGAACACCTCCTGCTCCTTGTAATTGTCAGTCAACGCGTTCAATATGAAACTACGATTCGCAGCAGCACTGGCCACCATCGAGAGGCTCAGCCATATCGTGATCGAAACCAGCACCACGCTGCACGGGGTGAGTGTGAATCGTGCCATGGCACTCAGTCTCTTCTGCAGGAAACAAAACGAGCCTGAGAGATTCGTCCACGGTGAGCAATAGCTTCGTTATGAACTGACAATGTCTAGTGGACAAGTGGTTACTCGTTGCAATATAATCAGTATCTGTATCAATGCAATTTTCTAGACTCGCAAGAAGAGATCTACCTTGAAGCTGAAGGGGCTTGTTCAGCCAGATGGGTCTGTGTGATCGCACTCAAAGTTGGCCTGAAGGATCATTTTGAGTCCGACTGTCCCTCGGGGTCGATTTATAGTCTTCTGCCTCCATCAAACAATAGCTTTACAAAAGTTGTCACCGTTTTCACATTTACTTTTCACCTGAGTACCGGAGTAATTCTCATGAATGGTTGGCCGCTACTGTGGGGGATTCAGATTTGAATCTGACACGGATTTCTCGTTTCTACAAGGCTGTTCATCATTCAAACCTAAATCTGGAGGTGCGACCAAATCGGGAACGTGTCAGTATCATGATTGCTATTGGGACATGTGGATGCAATGCATGCATGATCTCTTGGACAGTGTAGATCTCCAGCTCTGCAGGAATATGCAGAGATTCCCGTCCATCCACTGGTGTTATGGCGACATAATTATCAGACTCGGTTCGCTGCCGAGTAGATCATATAAACAACGGCGCTCATCGCAGAGGCTTGTGAGCTTTCAGAATTCGGACACACGCAAGATCTGAATTCCAACTACGTCCTTTGCCTTCTTCACATTCCAATGATAGCAGAGGGCAGCCACATGCCACTCTAGCTCGTTCCCAATTTGCGCATTGCGTTCGAGGAGTGGATAGAGATCGAACGTATTAGTCTAACATAGAGTTCAGCTTTGCTCATTGACCCAAGAGGAACGATGATTTCGTTCAGAAATGCAGTCCTGTGTGCACTGCTGTGTGTGACAATGGTCGCTCAGCTGAACTCAGTGAATGCGAGCTCCTGCGAATCATGCACTGGAGACTCCTGCAAAAAATGCACTGGACATATTTGGGAAGAGTCGTTCACGGTCAAAAACTTCCTGCCGGCCGGTGATTCCAACCTCTACATGGAATGCTCATGCCTCAGTCGATGCGGGAAGCTCACTGTCCAAGATCCCGTTGATATCAAAGAATGCAATAGTGTTATAATCTCGACTCGTTTTTGTGGACCTACACCCCAATGGGGGGATCTTTCTGAGATAGATGCTTATCGTTCCGAGCAGGTGATGTGTGAATTCGTTTGGACACGTCCCAATTCTGAGACCATCTACCGAACGCCTGTCATGGTCTGGACTAGTGGAGGGCCCGAGAGAACTTTCTACAAGGTCAACAATGACGGCTTCTGGTTTTCCGATGGCGCAGATGCCCAGTGGAACGCAATGAGCGGTTGTGAGTGAAAGCGCTACATCGCTCGAATGCCATACAAAGAATGCTAGAGATCTACATTTCATTTAGCAAGCAGCATTGTAGTTAGAATCTATTGCTCGAATGCCATGCAAAGAATGCTAGAAATCTTCATTTCATTTAGCAACTAGCATTGTTGATAAAATCTTTCACGATGAATACGGATTGCTGTCTTGATTCTGGCACTAATCTATGAAATTTGTCTTGCAGGGACGATGTGGAACTACATTTCATCGGAAAGTCAGCTCAAGGGTGCCGGAAACAGCGTATTTGAGACCTTCGGGAACGAACACTGCCGCACAAAGAATTACGCGTAATAGGAAATACCACCGAAGCTGTTGCTATCTGCAAAAAATTGCATGTTCTACGATATTAGCACTGAGGCAAGTTAGCAGTAGGATGATTATCAGGTCCCACATGTTCTCTTTCGACGCTTCTTGTCGGACGATGATAACGTCCAAGATCAAACTCTTCAGTCTGCACTGATCTGTGATCTGGTTAACCTTGTTCTTGAAAAGGATTAAATGTCAGGGCTGCGTCAGCTGTATACATTTCATGTCTCTGAAATGAAGAAACATCATATGTATTTTTCAGAACACGTTCATTGAGTTGTGATCTGTGGTGATAAGGTGTCTTATAATCAGTTCATATGAGACATATCCAGCTTTCATTCAAACTGCACTCTTCACTATCTGTGGAAATGCTTTTGCACATTCAGTGCAATATTATTGCATGCTGAAGGTCCTTGAATCGTGTTAATTTGATCGATGAAACGAAAATTAAGCAGCCATGCGATCGTGTGGATGTACATTCTAGACTGCAAGCATACTACATATCACATGATTGGAAAATTGAGCAACTTCATACCCTGGGATACGAACGTTGAATCTCGTTAACTCCATTAATTATCAAATCATCAATCATTGCCGAAGACTGAGCTTTCGGCAATTCATCGATCTGATTAATGGACAGATCATTGAATCCTCTGGCCATTCCAAATTCCGGAGGTGATAAGAAAATATAATCTCCGAGAAAATTCTCATCCGGAGGCTCGAAAAACAAACATATGTAGCCTGCAGAAGATTGAAGAGTGGAAGAGACTGTTAAATTCAAAATTCAATCTACCAATTGTAAAATATTCACCTGATTGTTTTGAATATGGAATAGTTTATAAACGAAAGAAGGCAAAATAAGGAAATTTCGGACAGAGGAATTATTTGCATCATACTCTCTACACTCGTTAAAGTATATTTATCATGTCACAAAATCAAAAGTTTGCAAGCATAGTTGTTCACTATTCACGTGTAGCTCTATGTTTGCTGTATAAATCCGATAATAATAGAACATGATATTCTTTAATTCATATCACTATTGTAAACCATGATTCATCAGATCCGGAAGACTTACTTCCCAATATGAGGCGATTGAAGCTACTCCAAGTTCCCATTTACTTCATCGTTTGACAATATGTGAGGTTTTCCAATAGCTTTCGCTAATTCCTTGGCCCCTATTCTTCGTGCTCTGAATCAGGCAATGGACCTTGTCATAGTCGCATGCAACGTACGCATCCGTCTCCACTAAAGTGGACAGTTCTATCCGCAACGGGAAAGGTACAAGGAGAATTGTTCGCACGTGTTCGGATTCCCACGTGTTAGATTACCCGATCTTTCAACGCATGGAGTGACAGTTTGTATCAGGATGGCATATTTTCATCAATCATTGCCGGTGACTGACCTTTAGGCAATTCATCGATCTGATTGGGACATATGAAAAAGGAATTGTCTTACCTAGGTTGGAGCATTGATCTGCAGGAACAAAAGAGGACGCATGCCTTCATTGTCGTCAACGTGGTGGCTGTGCTTTTCCATGCCTTTCCGGTAGTCGATTGTTCAGTATTTAAGAATATTGGGTTTCACTTTAATATACGCGCAGAGCTGTGTGAATTCTATGACAGCATGATCTTGAACAGGAAAAAACAATCCATGCACAATTATACTAAGGGCACGATCCATCTGTCAGATGCTAAGGGTCTCCACGAGGGCAAGGGCTGAAAGTGTGATGTCAACAAATAAATATTCGGTCACAATATTCGCTTATTCGCAACTCACCAACAGAAACAACGAAATGGAATTGGTGAACCTCCTTTCATCTGACACTCTTGAGATAAGAGAATTAATCAGCTGGCATATTTTCCAATGAGTGTAAGATTTTTCTGTCTTTTTAATAGACTTGATATTTTCTAATATCATAGATGCTTCTAGACTGGAAATATGTTATTACTGAGATTCTTTAAAGTTGATTCAAAGGATCTGAGATCGTGTCTCCAAAGAGAATATCCATCTAAAAAATAGTTTTCTTTTGAGTCACGTCCCTCTTTCAAACCCTTAGAGAAGAAAAAAACTCTTACCACTTTGGAACATTTGAAAGTCTGGATGACTACATTGAAAAGACATAATGTAAGATTACGATTGAACGATACTGTCTTCATTCTTAAAAAAATCTTTGTCAAGGCACGATTTCCAAACAATCCTCATTGCAACTGATACTTGATGAACATATGAAGCTCTAAATATGTTGTGGAGCTCTACATTTGTTGTATGAGATTCAACAATATCAGCAATATCAACTTTTCCACTATCAATCTTTAAGCTAGAGATACAATTTTCACCAAGTATTTCTATGTTATTTTATTTCAAGAGATAGAACTCACTCTTTTGACGGAGAGGGTATGATGAAATAGGAGCATCTCGCTGGCTGGATTGGTCCCGAGTTCCACACTCACATGGCCATTTGCATTGTCTACACTAGAAGGAATGGAATTTTACAATTTTGAATGTATTCTCATTTGAATGTATTCCTTACATATTTATTTATATCCCACCAAGAAAATCACCATTTAGTAAAAGTAATAAATACCATTTTGTTGTTCAGAACTGTCATAAACTTGAGATTAAAATAATTCCAAGCATATCATAATTTTAAGAATAGATCTTTTACCCTAATAAACTGTCCTTCATCCGAACTATTGAATGAATTTTCGATTTGTCTCTTGGGACATAAATGTCTTGATAAATAATTGCTCGTCTTAAAGGTTCAATGCATGCTCGACAATATTCAAGGAAAATTATTCGCACATGTTGGAATCTTTGATCTTCACGTCATGCAGTTATATTTGGAAGTTTGGAGGTTGGAGCGATGATTTGCCAAAGACAGTACAATTCATTTTCCTTTTTGGAGGATGACGTATGCCTCCCTTATCGTTGCCCTCTTGTAAAGAACGTCCCGTCAACCTTTTCAGATGTCACGGGTTCAGGGTACTTTTGGTCGGTGTGACTTTGAGATCTACGCGGAGCTATATAGAAATCATGGCAGCAAGATTCTGCACAGGGAAAACAAACTAATTGTCCACATATATCATAATGACAGATTCTGAAGCTCGCTTTTAATGACAAGGGAGGGACGTGTGAATTCGTTGCTGTGTTTCAGCTTCCATGCGTATCCAAAAAGATTTGACAGGAATTGGCCGAATGTTGCGAACGCAATTCTAGATCTTACTCCAACATATGGATCTTCCTCGATTGCCTTATCTACATGACTGACTGTAGATTTCAAAAGGTCTGGGACGTGGAAACTCCACGTGGAACCAGATCAAAGAGGGCACATGCAAGAGGAACAAGGTTAAAGAAGGCACATGCAACTGGACGGAAGAGGGTGATCCATATACCTGTCCGAGGAGCTGCAGGAGATGCCTATATGAACCGAAGCTCGATGAGAAAAGCTAGCACTTGATTCCTGATTTCGAACTACGGAAGCGGTCCATGGGCGTTCTTTCCTTCTACGAATTTCCGCATAGTTGAAGCATGCCTGCTTGGTCCCCAGTCAGCAGATCTATTCTGGGGCAAATTCGATCCTCGTGTTGAGGTGCTGGTGTAGACACAGAGTTGGAAGCTTGCCTCGTTTTTTGAGTTCTACACTTCGTAATGGCGAGATCCCACGTTCTAGTGATATGTGTCGTCCTTCTGCAACTGGCGATGGTGTCCTATGCTGCAGCGGCCGAAACCAAGACATTCACCATCATGAACCATTTACCGAAGGAAGACTTCATCAACATACGCTGCGATTGCCAGGATTACAATGACATTGTCACCGTGCTCAGCGACACTATCGGTGAGTGTGTAGACAAGGAGTTCCAAGCCAGCATCTGCCCCAACGGTGACGCGGCTAAGGGCTTCTTCTGCAAGTTCCTGTACTACAGAAGATCAGGCACGACTATCAAACACCAATACACAAACATCAAGGTCTGGGCAAGCACAGGGCCATTGAAGACTTACTTCAAGGTCGACTCGGAAGGTGTCTATGGCTCGAACCAGTCTGACAATGTCGGCGCGAACAAGATCAGTGGCTGTAAGTTCTTTGATTCAATTCCCTGCCCTCTACGATGTCTGTATACAACCACTGCAGACCTGATTATGCTTATCGCACTTTCCGCTCACGAGGATATTCTTTTAGATTTTGCTCTAAAAGCTTTGGGTTCTGATACACTCTGCTCGATAAATGTGCAGGGGCCGACAAGTCGATGGTCGTCAAGGCTGATTCTCTTGGAAATGGGCAGTCTTTCTGATAAACTCAGACACTGCTTCCAATTCCCAGCGAAGAAGGTTCTAGGCCTAGTCCAGTGTGCCTAAGTATTTTTTTCTGATACACCTGCACTCAGCATCTATAAGAGATTCATGTCTGGCGATGGCAACACAGCTCGCAGTCTCTCGACTGGCTTCCAGTAAACGCTTCAGTTTGGGCATTACGTCAAACTGCATCGAAGCTTATGCGAATGTTTTGCCTTTGGATCGCAATTAGCTGTCATGATTCATGATCATGCCTGAGGCGATTTTGAAGTAGGCCAGTCTTCCATGTCATATTCATCTTCAAAATGCACTCGTACGCATTAAAACATGTATGGTATCCGATATCGCATACGATTGTATTCGTTTGGTGAATCCCTGGACAACTGTCCAATTATTGATGTTTGTTTGCAATCGTACCCAGCTTGGCCAAATATCTGATATCCTAGCTGAGCTAAAAAAAATAAATGTATCTTGCACGTCGAGAAACAACATTAATTGAGAAAATAGATCAACGCAAAAATTGTTTTATTTTCCATCATGTAGTCAATTGATATGCAGAGAATAGATAAATCTGAATGGTTTATCATCAGAGTAATTAACTAGAATTTTCGTGACGAAAAAAATGGGATAAACCTAGTGTTAATCTCCAACAAATAAGTGAGCTGATAAACCATTCGGTAAATATCAACAATTTATAAATTGCAGAGAAAAAATAAACACTCTGAAAATTAAACAGTCAAAATATCTGGAATGAAAAGAAGAAAGAGTAGAAAAAAATGTTAAATATACATATGTACGATAAATTTATTGTTCATCCATGTCTCCTCCACAAAAATATATAATTTTGTTCCCAATCCCCTTAAAATTTATTATCCTTCATGAACAGTACAGAATACATTGTACTGTTCATCAATACTACGTTGATCATAACAGTGTAAGCAAAAAATCGGCGGAAGATATATCATCCTTCCTCTGGTATATAGCGACATTTCTATGGTTGAAAAAATATAAAATCGGATATAAAATAGGCATTGGCAAAAGTTTGCCGAACCAAGCTATCAAAGAACTTTCTCAGAAAAAAGATGTACCGTACATGAAAATAACCACCATTCTCAATAATAACCACTTACACTACGTTTATAGAAGGAAATCTACGTGTCGGAAACTGTACGATATTGTCGGTCCAGAATAAGTTTCTGGGCCTACTAAATCGGTTGCCACCAAAAGTATGTGGATTAAAACAGTCGTAAAGCCTATAGGCCGAAATGTGTAGACCCCCGCTGCTGTGGAGATTTGACTGGCTGCCCAAACTCTCACTGTCTTATCTGTTAATCCTGCAACAGAGGCGTCCCGACATCAGTACTTTCCCTCTATCTCCGGTTCTGTCTGCACAGACTGGGGACTTTCTATTCTGGACACTATCAGCAGGAGTGTCAATATCTGCAGTCTAGCTTGCCGGATTCTCTCTGTCCTTTTATCTATAGGCAACAACCTACTGTAATGGAGATACTGTTCGTACTGAGGACTCCTCACATATTTCCATGTCAGACATCCCCTCACCGGTGTTTTCACGTAGGCGCAACTCTTCTGTATGAGCTGAATGGGATTTCAAGTATGAAGGACTTTGTACAGGCTGGACGCTAAGTTCTTCAACCCTTGACTCAAATCCTACGTCATCCATTCGTTTCAAATATGTGCAAGGTATTCTGATTCAAAGACATATACTCTTCACAATGTGATCCCTTGCACCTACTGTTTTGCTTGCAGCCACTTTAGATCAGTCGGATCCATACATCATGGCTCAGCATTCACCATTCACCATAAATCTCGAAGTTAGTCTCGAAAATCAGCTCAAGATATTGGACTTACCTACTTGATTTCTTCCTCAACTTAAAAAATACAAAGGCAACTTCAGAACAAAGCTAATCCGACTTTCAGTATTCTCGAACTGATTGGAACTGACTGTAACCAGCAAAGATACCGCTGCAAATTGAGCTGATGTGTAGCACAGGGAGGACGGAGTGGTACAAAAGATTCGAAGTTTGACAATGGCGACTCTCAGACCACTGCCCACGAAGGTCTTTAGCTTATCTGCGTAGCTGATTCGTCATAAGCTCCGTTTGAAGACCTTCCAAAGTTGCACGGTTTGAGAGATTACGAATCAAAGAAGAGTGGGAAAAATTACTGCTGGTTGGATTTCATTGACGTGTTTGAACAACAATCCAATGCGAAATGGTGGGAAAGCTCAAGACTCATACAATTTGAGCTAAAGCTATCAACGTCAAATACTGTACTTCAGCATCCTGAAAGTAAGACAAGCATGTCTCTGTAATGAAAGGAAAGAACCATTATGGTGCTCGTCCATCAAGTCTTGTTACTTCACCACAGATGAATTCCAGGGCTCTAAGAAGGTTCCAAGACTAGCTCATACACAGTCTATGCGAGATATCTCTAACGTTTATAATTTCACAGGGCGAAGAGCATCTGAAATACTTGTCGAAGCAGTATTACTATCGCCCGGCCAATATTAAGAAGATTATCCCCGCAAAGATGTAAAATGCAATAGCTCCATTCCTCAGTCCATTCGAAAGGAAGACTAGGCTTCCACCCGTAAAGCGTTTTCACTCGCCGAAGTTAGGAACTTTGGAGTGAAGTAATATTCCACATCCATACTCCCTGATTATCACATCAAGAGTTATTGGAGTCAGTGGCGTATGATTACGAGATATTACTGCAAAACAAACAAATAATCGATGTCCAACAAATGCATCTTAAATGAACGCAAGCGAATTGTAAGACCAGGTCTTTCAAAGCTACTCACAGACGAGTCCAGAATTGATCCAACTGAAGTCGGGAGCCACGGCGAAATACAACACGCCGTTGTCGAACTTGAATTTGGTCTGCGATGGACCCTTGAAGTACCAAACGAGCACTTTCATGTAGTACTTCTCCTGAGCCAAAGGAGGCCTGGAGTACCTGGTGACATCGCATTCAACCTGTTTGACTCCTGGGCAGCGATCCACTTCCACCGAAGTATTAGCCCCGGGCTTCAGAAGAAATTTAGGAGTAAAAGTGCGGCGATATGTGTCGTAAACACAAGTGCATTGTACGAACACCTCGTGGTCCGCATAACTGTCAGTCAACGCGTTCAGTATGGAACTACGATTCTCAGCGGCATTGGCCACCATCGAGAGGCTCAGCCATATCGTGATCGTAGCCAGCACCACGCTGCACGGGGAGAGTGACGAGGTGCTAATTCTGAACCGTGCCATGGCACTCAAACTCTTCTGCAGGAATCAGAACGAGCCTGAGACAATCATACAGGGTGAGCAATACTTTGATGCTAAACTAGAACGTCTAGTCAACTAATGATCACAATGGCAACATATAACAGTTCCTGTGTGTAAAGGGTTGCATGAACTGAAGAAATGAAATCTTCAAGACTCAGAAGAAGAATTCGACCTTAAAGCTCAACTGAACTGTGCAACGCTGATGGGTCTATGGACGGAAACAGAGTTGTTGTGATGGATAGGTGTGAGTCATGTCACTCCTCGAAGTCAATTTATAGTCTTTTGCCTCCATCAAATAGTACCTTCTTAAAGGTTGATACATTTTCTTATCTGCTTTTCAGCATTTTAGACCGCTACAGTGATACTCAAGATTGGCCACCGACACGGATTTCTCGTTTCTACAGGGTTGCTCAACACTCAAACCAGAGCATGGAGGTGCGACCGGAATGAGGAACGTGCGATTCTAATGATTGACTTTCGGACAAGTGGATGTTTGGTCTTGCGTGCTTTCTTGGCTCAGTGTACTGGACAAGCATAGGTATAGGTAGATCTACAGCTCTGCACGATTTTGCGAGATTCCTGTCCTCTCTTGTAGTGTCATATAACAGTGATATTCAGTCTCTCCTCGTTGCCTCGTAGATCATATAAACAGCGGCGCTCGCAGCAGTAATTCATGAGCTTTCAGAGCTTGAAGTCCACACCAGATCTGATTACCCACACCATCCGTTGCCTCCTCCTCATTCCAATGATGTTAGAGGGCAGCCACATGCCACTCTAGCTTCTGCTTATTTGCACATTGCCTTCGAGGAGTGGACAGGGAGCGAGCGTATTAATCTGACATAGAGTTCAGCTGTGCTCATTGATCCAAGTCGAACAATGATTTCGTTCAAAAATGCATTACTGTGTGCTCTGCTGGGCGTTACAATGGTCGCCCAGCTAATCTCAGTGAGTGCGAGCTCCTGCAAAACATGCACTGGACATATTTTGGCCGAGTCGTTCTCGGTGAAAAACTTCCTGCCGGCAGGTGATTCCAACCTCTACATGGAATGTTCATGCCTCAGTCGATGCGGGAAGCTCACTGTCCAAGCTCCCGTTGATATTAAAGAATGCCACAGTGTTGAAACCTCGACTCGTTTTTGTGGGCCTACACCCGATTGGCCCCTTGCTGAGTTAGATGCTTATCGTGCCGAGCAGATGCTGTGTGAATTCATTTGGACACGTCCCAATTCTGAGACAATCTACCGCACGCCTGTGATGGTCTGGACCCGTGAAGGGCCGAAGAGAACTTTCTACAAGGTCGACGCTTCCGGCTTCTGGTTTTCCAATGGCGCAGATGCCCAGTGGAACTTAATGCTCGGTTGTAAGTAAAATCGTCTACATCGCTCGAATGCCATCCAAAGAATGCTAGAAATCTACTTTTCGCTTACCAAGCTGCATTTTATATAGAATCTATTCTGATGAGTACGGGATGCAATCTGGCATCTGGCGCTAATGTAAGAAGTATGTCTTGCAGGGACGATGTCGAACTATATTTCATCGGAAGTTCCGCTCAAGGGTGCCGGAAACAGCGTATTTGAGACCTTCGGCAACGAACACTGCCGCACAAAGAATTACGCATACTAGGACGTACCAGGGATGCTGTTGGTATCTGCATGAAATTGCATGCTCTACGATATTAGTACTGAGGCAAGTTAGCAGTAGGATGATTATCAGGTCCCACATGTTCTCTATCTACGCTTCTTATCGGAATATGAGAACGTCTAGGATCAGACTCTTCAGTCTCCACTGATCTGGAACCCCCTTGTGATTGAAGACGGTTCAAATATCAAAGCTGCCTCAGCTGTATACATTTCATCGTTGTGATTCCTGGAATCATCATGTACTTGCTTGAATATTCAGAATACATTCATTCACTTGTGATATGAGGTGACAACTTGTCTTGAATTACGTGTGAATGAGAAATATCCAGACTTTACTCCAACTAAACTTTCACTCTACACGCTTTCGCTCATTGAATCCGACATTTTTCACGTGTTCGTCGTGGTTCTGAGATCGTGACTAATTTGATCGATCATACGAATAGCATGCATGTGGACGTACACTTTTCTCTGAATCACAAGGCCTACAATAACTCAATACTGGATAAGGTTAAAACACTGTATATGTAAATTAGGTCATAGAGTATCCTGGTTAACACATGCTAAATTCCGTTGCATTCATTATTAATCAGGAATTTCCGGTGCAAAGTCATTATTTTGGACAGGTCGTTTAGTTCATGGAGCAATTCCCCTTGAACTAAACGACAGGCACAAAAGCCCTTTGAATCGAATCGGATGAGAAAGTTCGGAAGGCCCTGAGTGTTTAGGTTATCTCACGTGAGAAGCTCAAAACATAGGATATGTCCACCTTCTAGCTTCTCAAGACAGTATGCAAGCGTAAATATCTCCCGTTCACTATATGCAATAAACGTCGGAGCATTATAGATGCGTCGACCGGGGAAGAGATTAATATTGAGTAAAGCTTTGAGCCTTGAATTTAATTAAAAGGAATTTAGTTGAATTTATTTGCTTCGTTTGAGTTACATCACTCTTCGATCCCTATAGTAATGCCGAAGTGTTTGTTCTTATGCTATTCGCCATACAGTATGTGTGGTTTTGAAACTCAATGTCCCTGGGCCCTCAGGATCGTTATTTCTTTGATTCACAAATTCCAATGGAGGATTTCTATCTACTATACTCAAGGCTGTTATTATTTTGAGATGGAACTTACAATTTAGTTCAGTAAAACTTTTAATCTGGTTCAGTTACTACGTTGGAACAGCAGAGAAAATCAATGTTGACATTTTAGATTTGACGGTTGAAATCCCAAGATATAGTATTACGATGAACATCATATTATCTCTATTCATGGAATAAAACTTTGTCATGGCCCCAAACCAAAAGACTGCAGACTTAAGACGCTCCTTTAGGCTTAGCTCTGATTTTGTTGTATGAGACTCAACACTATCACCCAGACTCTCTAATTTCCGTAACCTAAAGACACATGATTAACGACTACATTTGGGTGATAAAGGTCAGCATTCAGAAAGCGTAAGTCTTTAGAGTGATAATATATATTCATTATTAATTATGAGACCTCAACATTGTTTTTTGATAAGTGCACCATGAAAATCAGCACTTTGTGAATCAAAAAATGATGAAAGTGATCAAAATGATCACTTTCATCCTTCGAAACTGGCAATTACATTTGAGGCTTCTAACATATGAAGAATATTATGCAAAAGGAACGAAGGAGATGCTCAAGGTACTCTCTCCTCTTCCTCGGTCAATAAGGCAAGGAGAGTGAAGGATTGGCTTAAGCTCATTCAGGTCACGATGTGTTTCAAAAAACGTTATCCTGACTCAAACGGTAGCTCCCCCAACTTGAAGATCGAATATAATCGAACGTGTGCTAAGAACTCATGTTTTACCTAGTCGAGTAAGCATGGTCGCCTTTTGGTGGACTGAAAACGATACTATCCCAGGAAGGGTGAAGCGATGATCTGCAGAAGTCACTGTAGCAGGTGGTGGCGGTGGTCGAGGGAGATGTGTCAACCTCCATAATGATTCTCGTAGTGGTTGGCGCAATTCAGTCTCCAACTCGTCCTGTCACCCTATGCACACGCCACTGGATCAGTATCAGTACTTGGAACACTGGATATAACCTATTGAATGAGCAGAACTGTGTTGAAATCATGGCAATGAGATCTTGCACAGGGAAAGACCTCATTGTATAGAGATAAGATTTTGTCAGATGTTGAAGGTCGCCACAAGTGTCAAGGGAGGAATGTGTCAAGTCGCTAAAGCATATTCGCTTCCATGCGCATCCCACAAGTTGACCAAACTGGAAGTGCATTTAACACAAGGTTATAGAACTTATTCCATCAAGTGGATTTATCTGTCGTTTCAAGTAATTGTTCCCTTCTCTGCAGGACTCACTGCGGATTCTTGAATGCCAAACCCGTGGAAAAGTCACCGTGAAAGAAGGTCACGAAAGGCACATGCCTGTCGAGGGAAGAGAGTGAGTTGTGAGCTGCTCGAAGAGCTCAACAGATGCCTATATTCTTTCACGATCATCAAGAAGAGCCAGCACTGAATTGTGGAAGCGGCTCATTCGCATTCTTCCCTTCTAAGAGATTCTGCTAAGTTATCGTAGGCCGCCTGCTTGCACCCCATACAGCAGAGCCATTCGGGGCAAATTTGGTGGTCGTATAGAGGTTCTGGTTCATACACTGAGTTGGAAGCTTGCTTCTTCGCGTTCTACTCTTCCCAATGGCGAGAGCATACGTTCTAGTGATATGTGTGGTCCTTCTGAAACTGGCGATGGTGTCCTATGCTGCAGCGGCCGATAGCAAGACCTTCACCATCATGAACTATTTACCGAAGGATGACTTCATCATCATCCGCTGCGATTGCCTGGACTCCAATGACATTGTCACCGTGCTCAGCGACACCATCGGTGAGTGTGAAGACAAGGAGTTCCAAGCTAGCACCTGCCCCAACGGTGCGTCGGCCAAGGGCTTCTTCTGCAAGTTCTTGTACTACAGACGATCGGGCGTGACTATCAAACAGCAATACACAAATATCAAGGTTTGGGCAAGCACAGGGCCTGCCAACACTTACTTCAAGCTCGATACGAATGGTGTCTATGGATCGACCCAGTCTGAGAATGTCGGAGCCGCCGCGAACATTCTTAGTGGCTGTAAGTTCTTTGATTCAATTCCCTGCCTTCTACAATGTCTGTATACAACCATTGTAGATCCTATTATGCTTATCGCACTTTCCAGTAACGAGGATATTCTGTTAGACTTTGCTGTAAAGAGGATATTCTGTTAGACTTTGCTGTAAAAGCTTTGGGTTCTGATGACATTGTGCTCGATCAATGTGCAGGGGCCGACAAATCGTGGGTCGTCAAGGATAATTCTCTTGGAAATGGGCAGTCTTTCTGAAAAACTCAGACAGTGCTTCCAATCCCCAGGGAAGAAGCTGCTAGGAATAGTCCAGTGTGGCTAAGTATTTTTATCTGATACGCCTTCATCCAGCATCTATAAGAGATTCATGTCTGGCGATGGCAACACAGCTCGCAGTCGAAAGACTGCGAGCTGTGTTGCCGTCGCCTGGTTTCGACTGGTCTTCACTAAACGCATGAATCTGGACATTAGCTCAGACTGCATCGATGCTTATGTGAATGTTTTTTCTTTTGACGAAAATGCGCCATCATGATTCATCATGATGCTTCAGGCGATATTTAAAGTAGGCCAGTGCTCTATGTCAGATGATCTAATTTATATATTCGTATTATTTAACCAAGTATGCGGAGCTTGCGATTGGAATTATGTGTTACCTTGCTGGGCACCTATCAATATATCGATGTTCATTTCGGATGTGCTCAAGTTGGCTCGAAGCTATCTTTTATCGGACCTAGACCTAGAAGTGACCTAGAAATGGATCTTAAACGTGTCAACAACGAGAAACAAAGAAATTAAATGCCGATATCATTATTATGTTTCATTATAATTGGTTCCTTAGATTGCCAATGATGAAGTGACCTCATCACGCGTCCAGGATCGGCTAGATCTTGTGTGATAATTGACATACTCGTTACCGATTATCAGACTCATCCCTTCTCAGCCTCGTCAAGCTGTTACGATTTCAACTGATACTCCAATTATCGCCAAAGGTCCACTCACCATTCTACTGAGCCCATATATCCTGTCCAATGCTCACTTCTAAGGCAAGCAAGTGAGCAACGAATTGACTGGGTGGCTGCACCGTTCATGAAACACCAGCTAGTTCCATATTTCAGAGAATTTTGCGAACAAATTTTGTTACTGTTGCGCATTCAGATTAGTTAGGATCACTCGGGACATAGAAAGAAAAAATGCATGCTATTAGACCAGATGCATAGGCGAAAACGTAAACACACAACTGCGTCTCCTCTAGAACGTTAGACATCCCAGGGAAACACCTCATGTAACAAACAAGAAAAAGGAGATCGGAGATATACATAAGCAGGTGGCCGAAATCTATCCAAAAGAAATCCTCTTATAGGACCTGCGAAGGACAATGCTGTACGTTGGTCTAGAGTTCCTACTACCAACCTCAAAACTCCTTTTCTGAAGGGTGTTGTATAATAAAAAAAAGTACTACTTACAAAACCAAGAGGTAGTCTGGAGTTAAATATCGAGAAAGTTTGAATGTAAAATATTTATATTTTATAAAATAATTCGTTTCATAAAAATGTATATAATACCAAAAAGTCTAAATGTTACAAGAGCGTCTCACATATTAACACAGGATGGTATTATATTGAAATTAAATTTTTAGAACTCACACTGTGGTTGATATTTGGTTCACCTCCCAAACTCACTGACATGTCTATTCATCATGAGACAAAATTGTCCTGACATAAATACTCATCCTAAATATGGTATTCGACATTCTCCATGTCCAAAGTGGTAAGTTTCCATTCTAGACACCATAGGTACGGGAACAAGTGATCTAGATTGTGGGATTCTCTCTATAATTTATTGATTTATGTACAAGACACTGACTTACTTTCTTGAGATCTTGTAGGTCCGACAGGAGATTTTGTTTTGCCAGACACACCAGTCCTGTTTGTACATATGACGTAACCATAAAGGTGAAATCCAGCGAAAGATTTGGAAAGAGTGGGAAAAGAGAATTTCAAGCTTTACAAGAAGTCACATAAATCTATTAATGATTGTTCTTGAAGGGTTTATGATATATATTATAATATCAATCACAATCTACAATAAAATAATTCCTTGTCATGAGGTGGTATGAAAGTTTCCACCGGCACGAAGATAACGCGAGAGTATTCTTCACGATTGTGCTGTAGAGTAGTAAACTAATGTCTTTTAAAGTATATTATACTTTTCAAAAAATCGCCCAATATAAAAAACTAAAATTCGTATGGAAAGCAGACAAAATGCAGAGGGTCATATATCTACCAGAAGCTGTTTCAGTGCTACAAGTTTAAAGAGAAAACTTCATGAAAATTTGGACAAAATTCGCAAAGTTGGAGGTGCGATCTTGGGCAATTTTTGACTGATCCGAATTTAGATTGGCTGGAATTAATCAATGGCACATTGGATGCAGAGCTTATGTCATGGAAATAATGGGATGCGCTGGAGGAGACCCGAAAGTGCGAGTGCCTTGATTCGAGAGCTCTGGATCTTCCATCGGTGAACGTAAGACACTAGAGTAGAGAATTCTTCGTGAACGCTATGGATACAAAAGCGACTTACAATGTTTTAATTCCCACTTTCATTATCCCCAATTTTATCAGAACTGACTTCAAGCAGCAAATCCACTGCTGCGAACTAGGCTGACGTGTAGCGAAAGGAAGACTGAGAGATGGATCAATTCTAGGACCAATTCAACCACAGTCTACGTGAGCTATCTCTACATTTTGTACAATAATAAGGCAATTCGGAAACACTGGTCGAGGAAGGTGTTACCATCGCCCGGCCAATAAGAAGAAGATTATCTCTACAAAGATGTAGAATGCAATAGCTCCCATTCCTTATTCCATTCGAAGGGAAGGTTAGATTTCCTTCGAATAAAACGTTTTCAGATGCCGGACGTAGTAACTTTGGAGTGAAGTAGAATTCCACATCCATACTCCCTGATTATCACATAAGAATTATTGGAGTCCGTGGCATATGATTACGAGATTTTACAGCAGAAAAAATAAATAACCCATGTCCAACAAATGCTGCTGAGATGATCGCAAGCGAATTGTATGACCAGCTCTTTCACAGTTACTCACAGACGAGCCCAGAATTGATCCAAATGAAGTCGGGCGCTCCTGCGAAATACAAGCTCGACACCAGTGTGTCGCCGCCGCAAAACATTCTCAGTGGCGGTAAGTTTCTACTGTACGTTTCCCTTGCGTTCTACAATGACTGTATACAACCACTGGACATCTAATTATGCTTATCGCACTTTCGTAATGTAGCACTTAATTCCATTCGTAGCTTAAAATGCAATGTTTTGTGTAGAGTCATTAAGAAAGACTATATGGATTGAATGTACTATAAGCAATGACACGTTCTTCAATGTAGAACAAATAAGTGCATACATCCAATTGATAAATCGATCAAGTATATATATATATATATAAAATAAAGTATTATAAGTAATTGATGTATAACAACGGTTATGTTTGAATCAAGACTCGTCATAGGATTAAACTTGTACTTTATGACTGTAGCAGTTTTTTTTTCCTCTTTACGTGTTTTTATTACTCTTGATATCACAATTCTGTCACAAACGGCCCATTGGGGTGAACATACAATACATACATATCAGGTTCGATGCAATCTGAGCTAATATCCAAATTCAAGCAATTACTGGAGATCAGTCGAGAGACTGTGCGTTGGATTCGCCGCCACCACCACTCACAAAGGTCCTACAGAAACTGGATGTAAAGGTAGCAGTACAAACACTCGCCTAGTCCACGTAATTTTCAGAGTGTTTATTTTTTCTCTGCAATTCATAATTTGTTGATATTTAACGAATAGTTTATCGGCTCACTTATTTGTTGGAGATTAATACTATGTTTTTTCCATTTCTTTCGTCACGAAATTTCTAGCTAGTTACTCTGATGATAAACCATTCAGATTTATCTATTCTCTGCATATCAATTGACTACATGATGGAAAAGAAAACAATTTTTGCGTTGATCTATTTTCTCAATTAATGTTGTTTCTCGACGTGCAAGATACATTTAATTTTTTAGATCAGCTAGGATATCAGATATTTGGCCAAGCTGGGTACGATTGCAAACCAACATCAATAATTGGATAGTTGTACAGGGATTCACCAAACGAATACAATCGTATGCGATATCGGATACCATACATGTTTTAATGCATACGAGTGCATTTTGAAGATGAATATGACATGGAAGACTGGCCTACTTCAAAATCGCCTCAGGCATGATCATGAATCATGACAGCTAATTGCGATCCAAAGACAAAACATTCGCATAAGCTTCGATGCAGTTTGACGTAATGCCCAAACTGAAGCGTTTACTGGAAGCCAGTCGAGAGACTGCGAGCTGTGTTGCCATCGCCAGACATGAATCTCTTATAGATGCTGAATGCAGGTGTATCAGAAAAAAATACTTAGGCACACTGGACTAGGCCTAGCACCTTCTTCGCTGGGAATTGGAAGCACTGTCTGAGTTTATCAGAAAGACTGCCCATTTCCAAGAGAATCAGCCTTGACGACCATCGACTTGTCGGCCCCTGCACATTTATCGAGCAGAGTGTATCAGAACCCAAAGCTTTTAGAGCAAAATCTAAAAGAATATCCTCGTGAGCGGAAAGTGCGATAAGCATAATCAGATCTGCAGTGGTTGTATACAGACATTGTAGAGGGCAGGGAATTGAATCAAAGAACTTACAGCCACTGATCTTGTTCGCGCCGACATTGTCAGACTGGTTCGAGCCATAGACACCTTCCGAGTCGACCTTGAAGTAAGTCTTCAATGGCCCTGTGCTTGCCCAGACCTTGATGTTTGTGTATTGGTGTTTGATAGTCGTGCCCGATCTTCTGTAGTACAGGAACTTGCAGAAGAAGCCCTTAGCCGCGTCACCGTTGGGGCAGATGCTGGCTTGGAACTCCTTGTCTACACACTCACCGATAGTGTCGCTGAGCACGGTGACAATGTCATTGTAATCCTGGCAATCGCAGCGTATGTTGATGAAGTCATCCTTCGGTATATAGTTCATGATGGTGAAGGTCTTGCTCCCGGCCGCTGCAGCATAGGACACGATCGCCAGTTGCACAAGGACGACGCATAATACTAGAACGTAGGCTCTCGCCATTGGGAAGAGTAGAACGCGAACGGAGCAAGCTTCCAACTCAGTGTATGAACCAGAACCTCTATACGAGCACCAAATTCGCCCCGAATGACTCTGCTGTATGGGAACAAGCAGGCGTGCTTTAACTAGGCAGAATTTCCTAGAGGGAAGAACAGGAATGAGGCACTTCCACAAACCGGTGTTGGCTCTTTTAATCGATCGTCAATTGATATAGGCATCTTCTGCAACTCCTCAGACTAGTGAACAGATCATTGAACTCAGTATGAGACTGAGAACGCTACAGCAACTATAGGGGCATGCGTCATCTCGCACCAGCTTCAGTGTACTACAGGCCTCATAAAATCTCCCATTCTATTATTAGCTGCCAACTTTGTCAGAAGTAAACTGGACAAAGTACCATTTATTATATAGACGGGCCACGGACCATCCGTGCAGAGTCCATCTTGCCAAT